AAGACTGCATCACTCGGCTAATGTGACCTTTCCATTATTCTGCTTTATATGGCTCCAGGGCTCACTGGCAGTGTATTTCTTGGGAAAGATGCTGTTCTCTTGCTGAACAATTGAATGGCTTATTAGCATAAAGTTTTGTCTGGAGTACAGCTCTTGCTGGCTCCTACATATACCTTTAGATACATTAGATGTAGATACTAGATACTTTAGATACGCTCCTAAAGCTTTTGTACCTTCCTCATAGCTTTCCCTCATTCCCTAATAAGTTGTCAAATTGAGAGAGGGCAAAACACCAGTGATGGCCCTCCCGGTCCTACTGCGCGCCCGGAGTCGGCAGCTTCATGCCGCGGCTGGGGCAGAACCCAAGGTTCCTATTTCCTTCACTTCACCACTTGCAGAGGTCAGACCAGAGTTTCCAATACATTTCACATGCTCACACTGTATTTAAGCTTTGTAATGCCAAGCATCTCCTTTTCCCCTGTTCTGCGCACGCTCAACTAAAAAAGCGTATTTGGAAACAGCTCTCTGACTGTGGCTGAAACAGCAACATCACGATTTCTGTAATAACAATTATTTCTGTAACAATAATTTCTGTAATAACAACACTTTTAGAAGTGGGATTACAGTTGTGGGAATTGGAAAACATCAAGCGGAATTTACTAAAATATATGGAAATTTGGAAAATATGCTTTACTTCCTCAGTTTAAGTAAGTGAATATAAATGTTCTTGAATACCCTATTTCGACCGTGTGTGTGTGTGTGTGTGTGTGAGAGAGAGAGAGAGAGAGAGAGAGAGAGAAATCAGGTCTAATCCTGCTAGGGAGCCAGCATCGTAAGTTCTACATAAATACATCAGTTCCAAAAATGGGTTGTGGAAAGCGAATTGTGAAGAGCAAAAAAAAAAATAAAAAAAAAATAGATCAAGTAAATTCCAGGCTCCAGTAACATAAATAAAAATAATTTACAGACAGAGAATAATAAACTCTGGAGGATTCTCGATGCTGTACTCTGCCTGCTACACAAACCCAACGTAGGTGCTTTTAAATAATTTTAACGGAAGATGCTTCCAAATATTTCTAACTAATTAAATAAATAATACTGTAAAAAGCCTGGCACAAAATGAAAACAAGTTTAAAATTGAAATCCCCTCCTAAATAGTACTTAGCCCTAGGAACCCTGGCTGTTCGAACGGGCCGTATGTGTTCCCAGCCCTTTTCAAAGAGGCAGATTTAACATAACATTTTAGAAGCAACTTGAAATTTTCCTGCTTCTGTTTATGTAAGTCAGACCATTAATACTGTTGAACGCAACTTTTTAGGTTTAATAGTCTCCCAAATCACACCGGACGGCAGCTCTTTGCTATACACACAGAGCCTGTTTTTAAAGAGTTGTTATATACTCATTCGTTGTTAAATAAGTAATGCCAGCGGCCTTGGAACTAATCTGCTGTGTGTGTTACTTTTAGTTCTGCCGCCGTGAACGAGAGTGATCGTTTGCGGTCTCCGGAGGGTTCAGCCAAGACGCTAACTCCATGACGCTGCCAAGATGTGGCAAGGCCCGTTCCCTCTCCCCGCAAACGAACCAGCCAAACGGAGCAGGCACCTGCTGCAGCCGCGCGGCTGCGTCTTCCGCAGTCGCAACCCGAAGTCAAAGATTTTGCCTGACGCCACCACGAGATCCAAGATGCGTTCAACCACGTGAATGGTGCCCCTGCCACAAGCACTTCAAGTTAAACGGAGAATGCTATCTATGTAACGAACGCCTGCGGAAATCCCTAAAAATAAACACTCATCCCCAACAGGGAGGTTTACCCTTAAAGATGGAGAAAGATAAAAAATTTAAAAGGTTAAATGTGTACTTTATAATGTCTGCAAAACATTATGACCACAGCTCAAACTCAGTATGTATTACGTGGAAATAAGAAATCAATTAAAACTGAAATTTCAAAGTGGTCCTTCCCCAAAACTTTTTCTTCCAGAATACAAACCAAAAAAAATCAAAATATACAACTACATGCTTTTCACAAGGACTTCCACTGCTTTTCCTGGAGAAAAGATTGCCTCCAGTCCCTGCAGTCAAGTATAACCAGCAAGCTTGCCCCAGTTGCACTACCAGTATCGGATGGTTTGGAAGTATCTGAAGGGGGGGGGTCAAGAGGATGAGGCCAGCCTCTTCTCCGTGGTGCCCAGCAACAGGACAAGAGGCAACGGACACAAACTGAACCACAGGAAGTTCCATCTGAACATGAGAAAAACCTTCTTGACTGTGAGGGTGACAGAGCACTGGAACAGGTTGCCCAGAGAGGTGGTGGAGTCTCCTTCGCTGGAGATATTCAAAACCCGTCTGGATGTGATCCTGGGCAATATGCTCTAGAGGTCCCTGCTTGAGCAGGGAGGTTGGACTAGATGATCTCCAGAGGTCCCTTCCAACCTCAACCATCCTGTGTGATTCTGTGTATGGTTTGGTGTGCGCCGGCTGAGGAGGGGCCGAGGCGCGTGGGGCTGTGCCCTGGGCCGGCGAGGTGCCCGATGGCAGCCTATGGGCCAGGTTGAGCAAGTGGACCAGTGCAGGCAATGTGGTGCTGGGTGTCTGCTGCAGCCCGCTGGATCGGGAAGAAAGAGTAGGTGAGGTCTTCTACTCTGCGCCATTCCCTTCCTCCAGGACTGCCCCCAAAGTAGCTATGATTGCTCAAGAAGTCCTTAATGAAGTACATGCACACATTTGCATGGGTTCATCTTAAAAATCAGACGCTTTACAGCTATACCGACAGAACTACTACAAGCATTATACAGAAAAAAAGATGAAAACTACTTAATATTTCTTCTCCATTGGTGATTAACAGTAATCTCAAGTCATTTAAGAATATATTGAACAAGTGTATTGGATACATGCCTGTAGTTGCAGTGGACAAGTAAAACGTTGACATTTTCAGTTTTATTCCGCAGCAAGCAAGCACCACTAGTTCTGCTGCGGTTCTAAACTTAGACTGTGGGCTGTTTAAGACAGCCGTTCTAGATAAAAGTTTATTTTTTGTATTTATCGAACTACAATGAATACATTGCATTATTCATACGTTCTCATATTTGCAAGACAAACAAAATTTTCCACTTAAAGTCAATAATTTTCCATTTCAAGGAAAAGTCAATTCCTAAAAACTGTTTTGGTTTAAAAATAAACAATTTGTTCATATTTTTAAAATGAAAAGCATGCAAATTGAATATTTTTTCCAGCTGTGAAAAAATAAAATTTGTACTCAGACTGACCAGATTTAAAGTAGTTATTATACCTCGCTGAAATGAAATCATGGAAACTTTGGTTGTTAACTTGAAAACATTTCATCTTGGATATAGTTTTGCAAGTTAAAACACTCAATTAAAATTGTTTTCAGGCCTCATCCAGGAATGCAGAACTTGGTTAACCCCCTTTCTCTTCCAGGTACATCTCCCAACAACTGCTGCTTTTCAGCTATTATGAGGCGGGCCTATGTGACGCTATCCTCAGGATATTTTGCTCTCCAGGCTACAGAATACTTAGGAGCCCACTGAGAAAGACAGGAGCGTGATTAAGGTACTCACCCAAGAAACTAGATACTTGCTTTCTACTCCCTGCCCAAACGCGCATTTTCTCGTTTACACAGAAGAGATAAAGCAAGATCAAGACCTCCTCCCCAGCTGCCCTCTGAAAAACATATCCTAGTGGTTAGGATGGTTTTCAGCGGGGTAGACACCAAAATCCCTTCAGGCTAAAGCCACACATGCTCTTGTGTACAGCTGCTTAATAAAAGATAACCTGTGCCTTCTCCATCCCTTTGAGTTAAGCTGGGGCAAACGTGACTTCAACACCTCCAAGAGGCACAGTACCAATACCTACATAAACCTTTCTTGCAAAGAACTTAAACCATTGTAAATACTTCAAAGATAAATTCTCCAAGTCCTCTTGAAGCTACACAGTATCTCAGATACAATGTGAAACTCAATACGGGAAAGGAAAGCAGACAACCTTGCAGGGAATGGTTCATGTATCAGCTATCATCTCCTCCACTGAAATGCACAGAGCTGATTGCAACCACTATTAAATCTTAAAGATTATATCAATCATTCTGGATCAGTCATCCCTGAAGGCAGGACTAAAATTCCAGTTGTTATAACCTCTAATTAGGTTCTCATACAGAAGGTTATTTTACTCAGTCATTTTACTAAGGAGAAAGGATTTAGCTTCAGTTAAGCCCATGAAGACCACAAAAACTGGGAAAGGTGTAAAAACATTGCATCTACCTTCTGATCAGAAGCTTCCAGGATCGGACGGATATTTTGGATATCAGCATCTCAACCAGGTCCTAAACCTGGACAAAAATAAATAGCTTGGCTCCACACCTGGTCCCTCCGTATAAAATAATAATATAGCAGAATCTTCCCAAGCTTTCTCTGAAGCAAAAATGTGTATTTACCAGCCACGGCCTTTCATTAACCCTAAGGTGCCATCTTTTTGCCAGGTATCTGTCAATATAAGCGTTACTTTTTCAAGGCATTTAAAAACAGACATATCAAGACCTGTGTAACTAGGGAAAGCAAAAAGAGATGCAGGAAGTGTACAATCTGTACACTGTACATACATTCAAAACTGTAAATAAACTCTACATCGTTTGCTCTGAAAAGGTCTTTTTCTTCCCCCGAGCATGCAACACCTTGTGTCTCTTGTGCAATCAGGTATTTTTGCTTTTTCTGATCGAGCATAAGCCCATATTTGGTAATTGCTACTTTGAACATGCTAATAATGAAACCTAATTCTTCTTTATGTTCCAACGTTTTTCTGTATTAAGTGTGAATTTTTATAGCGTTTTTCCCCAACAAGACATCTTGCTTATAAATAACACAACATTAAGTGTCATGATATAATTGATTTTCTAATGAGGTTTTCAAAAAGGATTATATTTTTGCTTGTCAGAAAATCTTTACAACAGAAAATGAGCCCTTCCATATTTATTCCTTATAAACTGAACTTTTTATTCCTACACTGAAGTTGAGATGGATTAAATCATGTGGATTGCCATAAAACGAAGTATTGTATCAGATATTTTTATGGTTCTCCACATTTGTATGTTGTGCTGTGGAACAGGATGCGAAGCAGCCCCTAGCAGTGTGTGTGCAGAGCACAAAATCACTCCGTCCTGAGAAAATGTAACAGCAAAAAGATTGTCCAGTTAGACTGTATTTGATGTAGCAGGTGTAAGAGGTAGATACCAAACCAAAAAGGTTGCAATCCATTCCTCTACAAAACAAATTTACAATCTGCTAAAATTAATTTTATGTTGCACATGAGCTGACCTGTTTACTAGTTCCGTTAATCAGGAAAATGTCGGGGCTGATGTCTGACAGTGACAAATCATTACCATAAGCGCCCCTTTATATTCTTCATATATTTTTGTCTTAACTGCTTGATTCCTTTACTTTGCCAGCATAGTAAAGAAACAACTAGTGTATGCATCCTTGCAAAAAATGAATGATTAAACTAAATGGGAGAGAAAATCGTGCTTAGCTACTACTAACGGAAATTTTAATTTCTAAGGCTAAACAGTGCATAAAGTAATAGTTCAAGAAGTGTTTACTGGCAAATTCTCTTTGCAAAAGGAAAAAATCCAACTCTACACAGTCAAATGCTCTCTCTGCACCCATTAAAATACTGCGGTCCTCACTGTAGCATGCATAGTGTAAGAAACAGTATCTGAATGATTACTGAAAATTTGCCTCGACTCCTTAACAACTGCTGACTGTTTAGCAAAGCTGACCCTGCTTTGAGCAGGAGGTTGGACTCGAGTCTTCCTGAGGTCTGTTTCCACCTGAATTATTCTACGATCCTATAATGCTTTTTAGATACTAGAAGGATAATTTCTGTGCTATCCAAAACCAAAAATTACATAATTTCTTCTGAGGATTTTTACATATGCCGTCCACTATTTGAAATGATCTATTTTGCCTTATTAAAAGAAAGTTCATGCAATTTGTCTTTCTGCAATTCCAGGATTCACTCTCTTTTGGAGAGCTGAAAAGGATGCAGATGACATATATATAGGAAGGTGGGTAAAATAAAAAAAAATTGCTTCTAAAATACGATAATGGAGTGGCACACTTCATAATATCTTGCTTCTGAATCCTTAAGACAGTCTTAGCATTCATAGCAAACTGAAAATATGATTTATAGCTCTGAATTACTGTAGGGCAGTTTCCCTTGTAGCTTCCCCTTTAACATTTCTTAGCAATGCATTATTTATGAAGACAGACATAGGCACACTTAAGCTTGTATTTGCAATTTAGCATGGGATTTATAAAAGGACCAGAAAGGACAAAGGCGGGTTAGATGAACTGAACAGCATGGTAAGATCTAGTTAGGTGACTAACCTGTCACAAATGGTTTTCAGCAGAGGGAAGCCAGATGAGCTAGAAAACTACGGAAGAGGCAGCAATTCTGGAAAAAGGACAGGAAAATTCCTTCACAGCTATAAGAAACTAGTCCCACAAATATCAGATCTAATTCCTTACAGATAGGTGCCTACTCATTTACTAAATCTGATGTCGGAGAACCTGCAACTGAACCTTCCCCAAGACGGAGCATTTGTAAAGCCTGTGGCGCTCCATCGCCGATGTCCTCTGAAGACCGAACCACGCTGCCGACTCTCCTTCAGGTAGGGCACTGGCAGCCTCTCTGCTCATGCTCACCCACTTTCTGGCAATTTGGAGGAATATAATCATGTTCCTACTCCTTGGTCAAACTTGGTTGAGACCACTCATCAAACTCAAAAGTTACTCAAAAAAGGAAACCAGGAAGGACTCGCGAGCATGATCACATCAGCCTTATTTCTACAGGAGGTGAGGCGAAAAGAAGAAGCAGAGAAAGTCCTAGCCCAGTCAGAAGCCTTGCATCTACTAAAAGATGTTTTCTCGAGCTTCTGCATCGCATGGTCTTTTCACCCTGCCAACACGTCCCGGCCTTACCTGCTGCTGCTGCGCTTGCTGCTACGCGGCGCGTCCGCCGTTTACCGCTCGCCCAGCACAGCCTCTCGGCCTGCGACCACCCCGCTCTGCGGCACACCGACCAGCCTCCCGTTTCTCTGCCAAATCTCTCTCCTTTTTATTGGCATTTCCCCTTCCCACTTCTGCTTCCACACGAAGGGTGCCCCCATAGACGGCTCCGTTATGATGCCGTATCACCGGGAAAAGCAGACAGGCACCCGTCAATAACATACTGCTTTCACCTTAAAATACGGGAGAGCCCCAGACACCATAGGTACGGCTGGCAACCAGCTTTTGTTAAACGGGGCCTGGTCTGATGAGGTCTGAAGCCCACGTGCAAGCCATGGCCACGAGGGGGAAAGCACTAGGGGGAAAGGTGCTAGCTAAGATCTAGCTTTCTTTTTTCCCTCCCTTTGGTAACCTTCACAAAACT